CCAACCAAGCTGTTCGTACGCGTACCGCGGCGTATTTGTGTTACCCTTCTATCAATATGTGTGAATCATGCCCCCTGTTTCCTAATCCTTACTATTGTCATTTTTTCCTCTACTTCTTTTGTATGTTTGTCACACTCTTGTGACCCATTGTTTCCGGTGTGCCCTGTTAGTCGAAGCAGATTTTGTGCTGTTGAAGCTAGAGAGGTGAGCAGAGTAAGTCTGATTCCCTGTAAGGACTTCTTTGTTGACATCCACCCATTAGCGCTCATATGACCTTATGCAGTTGCGAGCGCCGTAAAACCTCTACTAAAACTCTATTACTAAACTTCCCACAGACGTCCTATCTTCTTCTTCTCATGCTCGTTGTGGATTGACGGCATGACGTTGTTGATAGGGGCGTTAAACCTATACCATTTCACTATTTTTCACGGCATGACGTATAAAACAAACCCATACAACCCCAACACAATCCGCCCTTAGGTAAACTCCCTACAAACTTCCAAGTGTTGACATAGACTTGAGACTCAGCTATGTCAACTTTCCTACTGGTGCGGGCTCAGGCAACCAACCAAAGACCCCCCCTCCACCTCTCCCCCCATCCCCGCGCGCCCCACCTCCCACTTTTCAACTGGAAGATCAAGCAAAACTTACTCGCTCGCAGAATTAATACAGACAGCCGGTATTGTTGACTGATTCCTTTCACCAAGCTCGTCAACAACTTTCCCTCGCAGGACATTAATCTATCAATCATTTCCCCCGACCTAGTTAGGAAACTTGGTTAACATAGTATCACGTGCCAGTGATAGTCCACAATGCGTACAGTACAGTACAGTGCACAGTAAAGACCTTTCCACGCGATATCGCACGTTTGTCTTAAGTTTCGCATCTAATATAAAGCCTAGCGTTTACCTCCCCCCCCTAAAAAACAAAAACAAAAAAAAAAACGAAGAAAAATTAATAAGCTTATGTTTCATGGGTATAGATGGTCACTCGATAGCTTAATTCTGGTGTAAAGGAATGCCCAAATAGGGAATGAAGAAAATGTGTTATGAAAAGGTCAAGCCTGGCTAAGGAAAATTAGACAATCGTGGAAAAACAACAACCCACAAGACGAAACAAACATACAAATCTCGTAAATAACCCCCCCCGAAGAGTTATAAGAAATTTCCTGGTGGCTACGGTGGAAAAATAGACATTCGTGTGAAAAAAAATTGGGAGAATAGAGATACTTTGAAAATAAATGCTGAGCGAAAATTAAATACTGGTGGTTATTTGTAAAGCAATGTTGCACGAAAATTAAATATTGGTAGTTATGTATAAAGCAATGTTGAGCGGAAATTAAATATTGGTAGTTATGTGTAAAGCAATGTTGAGTGAAAATTAAATATTGGTAGATATGTGTAAAGCAATGTTGAGCGAAAATTAAATATTGGTAGTTATGTGTAAAGCAATGTTGAGTGAAAATTAAATATTGGTAGTTATGTGTAAAGCAATGTTGAGTGAAAATT